TTGTAATTGCCTCTCCTCTCCCCTGCCCTGATATTTTCCCATCCTGCCAAGAATTTCTGATAATTGGTTACTCTGGAGAGAGGAAAAAGTCCATGTATAACTACCCCTATCTTATCAGTAGTGGGTGAGAATGAAACTGCGCTGAAGAACGTACAGATTATCCTGCATTAGCTTAAGCAAACGTTTGCCTGATATTTCTGCCAAGTGGTTGTTGTTGTAAGGGTGACAAAAGCAGCTTTTCTGGGTTTGTACATCTGAATGTCCATTGACAGAGAGTAAAAAATTGTCATACTTTTGAGAAATATACTAGAACTATAACCAAAATGTTAGCAATACGTCACCAGCTGGCTCCTGCCCTAATGCATAGATCCAAGATTTTTATACTATAATTGAACTGCATTATACCAAATTCAATACACACTAATATTGCCCATTATGCATAAAGATTACAGATTTATTACGTGACATGAATTATAAAAAAAATAACATTTAATAAAATGTTTTTGTAAGCATTTAATATAAAACTAATTAACATTACATTAAAAAATCCTCCTTTACAATTTTCTTAAAATTTGATGTATATGATATTATCACCTTTTTAGTAATAATAAGTCAGGAGGATTTCTTGCTGGATTTGACATATGGCATATAGGTGATTAGAAGGTTAGGTTTCATATTTGACTTTCTAGGGGCAGTGTTGATTACAGAATAAATTGCTTGTGTACATACATAGTAGTAATTTGACTTTTCTTTAATTGCATATTAAGGACAACTAAGTGGGCTTTAACTGTGGATTTTGATGTGTATAATCCACCTGTTATTGTCCTTACAAAAGACCAAAAGTCATTCTGGTAATCAAAATTAACTTAAAATTGTTAGAGAAAAATCTTACTTTATCAGCACTCTAAAATTCAGCTCGACCAACAGCAAAGCGGATCACACAAGGTGACACCATCTCAACAGTGGGGCGTGTAACTCATCAATGAAAATGAAAACCTTGGTACCTAATCAACAATTATCATTTGCCTATATAATGACACCTTCCTCATTTGTAGCCTTGCATCCAGCTTAGCTATTGCTCTTCAAAACTAGTTGTTTCTTCACCAAGTCACCAAGGTGAAAGGAAGAAATGGCAACCTCACATTCAATTCCTTCATTTCCTTCCATGGCAATGCTGTTTTCTTTCTTTGTTGTACTGTTATTGCTGGAGAATGTGGCAGGCGAAACGAGGCGCTACACTTTCAATGTACACCATTGGACTTTTCTCTTTTTTGAACTTCGTTTTTTTAAGTCTGATGTTCTTACTCTTGCTTGTTCAATGTTGGTTAAGATTGACTACCACAATGTTACAAGACTATGCCACACAAGGACCATTCTGAGTGTGAACCGACAGTTCCCAGGGCCTCCGTTAGTGGCAAGGGAAGGTGACAGAGTGATCATTAAGGTGGTTAACCATATTTCAAACAATGTTTCCATTCACTGGTATGAATCTTTACTTCAACTACTGTTGATGCATTGGATAGTGCTGTTAAACTTTTAGTAATTTGGTTATTTTTTAATTTGGCTTTTATTTTTATATGGGAAACAGGCATGGGATTAGACAGCTTACGACTGGATGGGCGGATGGACCTTCTTACGTAACACAGTGTCCCATACAAACAAACCAGTCATACATCTACAACTTCACAATCACAGGACAAAGAGGAACTCTCTTATGGCATGCTCACGTCTCCTGGTTGAGAGCAACGCTCTATGGACCGATCATCATCCTCCCAAAGCGCAACGAAACTTACCCATTCGTGAAACCCCACAAGGAAGTCACCATCCTGTTTGGTAAGAAATTGGCATAACGTAGCCACAAGCGTTAACTTTATGGCTTTAGGTATTCTAAAACTTGGTATCTGCATGAGTTTGGTATTTTCAGGAGAGTGGTTCAATACAGACCCCGAAGCTATAATCAGCCAAGCACTCCAGACAGGCGCTGGACCTAACGTTTCTGATGCATATACCATCAATGGTCTTCCGGGGCCACTCTACAACTGTTCTTCTAAAGGTATCAGTTAATGCTAAGAATAAACAAGTTTTGTGAAATGGACAGGTTTGGTTTAACTCTAGTTCTTTTTGGGACAACGTGGTTAGCCTCAAAAGATTAGTCAAAAAGGTTGTTAGGAAGACTGCAGTTAGTGTAAAGTTCACAGGTTTTGTTAAAAAAGCAAGGTTAACATCCTGAAACAGGCAGGCTAAGTTGGTGTCATGACGATTTTCCAATGTAGATTAAGCCATCCATGCAAGTTTGAGTTTAACGTTGTTGTTTCTGTATGGGCGTTACAGACACATATAAGCTGAAGGTGAAGCCAGGAAAGACATATCTCCTCCGGTTAATCAACGCTGCACTCAACGATGAGCTTTTCTTCAGCATCGCCAACCACACCGTGACGGTGGTTGAAGGAGACGCCATATATACCAAACCTTTCGAAACTGATAAGCTCCTCATCACCCCAGGCCAAACCACAAACGTTCTCCTCAAAACCAAGCCTGAATTCCCCAATGCCTCCTTCCTCATGGCTGCTAGACCTTACTTCACTGGCCAAGGCACCTTTGATAACTCCACCACTGTGGGAATTCTTGAATATGAACATCCAAAACATCACAAATCCTCTAAAAACCTTACCTTACTTCAACCAACCCTCCCTCCTATTAATGCCACAGCATTTGTTGCAAACTTTACGGGGAAATTCCGTAGCTTGGCCAATGCTAAATTCCCTGCTAACGTACCAAAAACTGTGGACAAGAAATTTTTCTTCACTGTAGGACTTGGGACGAACCCCTGCCCTCGAAACACAACCTGCCAAGGACCTAACAATTCAAGCAAATTTGCTGCTTCAGTTAACAATATGTCATTTGCACTCCCATCTGTGGCTATTCTCCAAGCTTACTACTTTGGACAAAATGGAGTTTACACTACAGATTTTCCTACACAACCCTTAATTCCTTTTAATTATACTGGCACACCACCAAATAACACAAATGTGATGAATGGCACACGCACGGTGGTGCTGCCATTTAACACGAGTGTAGAGCTGGTGCTGCAGGACACCAGCATTCTCGGTGCTGAGAGTCACCCACTTCATCTTCATGGATTCAATTTCTTCGTTGTTGGACAAGGTTTTGGCAACTTTGATCCAAAGAAGGACCGTGCCAAGTTCAATCTTGTCGACCCCATGGAGAGGAATACAGCTGCTGTTCCTGCTGGTGGTTGGCTAGCCATTCGGTTCTTAGCGGACAACCCAGGTACTAATCTGTTTCCTTTTTTCCCTAAACAAATAAGCCCAAAACGATGATTTTCTTGCATAATTTGTTTGACATGGGAGCAGGGGTGTGGTTCATGCACTGTCACCTGGAAGTCCACACAAGCTGGGGACTGAAAATGGCATGGATAGTCTTGGATGGGCCGCAACCAAATCAGAAGTTGCAGCCACCACCGTCTGATCTTCCGCAGTGTTGATTCTGAGTCATCTTTATTGTTCCAGACTGCCCGAGGGCTATCCAATTTTCCTTTTTCGGTGCCATTTTGAGTGTTTCTGAATTCGTCTGAAGTCTTAAAAAATTGTAACTTGATTTTCATGCAATTTCATTTTGTTGCGTGTCTAAGGAAAGGGGGGCATGGTTTCTTCGTTTCCTTTGATGTTGAACATTTGTCATTGACGGATGGATGGGTGGATGGTTGGTTAGTTGAGGGAATGAACAGCAGCTGAGGTGTACTCATCCGATGGATTTATTTCATTTAATTTATATGTTTCTCTCATTTTAATATTAAGTTCAACTATCCTCCTCCCGCAATTACTTTCCCTGCTGCTATCATTAAGAGTTTGCTGCAAACAAAAGTTGAACTAATTACTTCCACCTAAATTTGACATCCATGGTTAAAAAAATGTTGCAGATGATCAGGTTCTATCTCTAGTGCATCATCTTATGCTGGTGTGTGAGTGCAAACTGTAGTCCTGTTTGATCACGTGGGATCTTCTTACTAACAATCCTGCAGTTAGGACAACATGCAATGTGAGAAATGAAACTCATCACTGGACATGATAGCAAGCTATGAAAAGAATAAAGTCCAGGGCAGTAGGTGTGTTGAATATTTTATGATGGGCATCAACTTAAAATCAGAATACCCTTAGCACCACGTTTTGCAGCATAAAAGAGATAGCAAAAAGCTGTCTTTCAAGATTGTTGTCTTTTAACTACACAATTCAACAACATAGTTCATAACTCTAGATTAATTTTGATTATCATGACGTTATTGAAAGACAGCAAGAGAAGATTTCAGCCACTAATAAAATAAGCTTTGTATATGAACTGGTGAAGTTTAATTTACTCAGCCAAAAGAGAAAGATGAGTGTACAGTTTACGGATCAAATTTTGGTTTGTCAGTTATGCACCTCCACTTTGATTTGAATGATCAGATTCAAGACAAAAGCAAGGAAAACTACAGCTGATAACATCTGAGGAGGACCTAGTAACCAAGCATGTGCAACAAGACTGAACTAACGAAAGCATCTGCAAGTAAACATGATATGCATCATCAAACAAAACATAAAGGTGAGTGATCAAATTTGGCCTGTGCACAACATAATTTATCCATTTTAACAGGCAAATCCCATGCATGAAAGTAGCTTGCAATCAGGCATACAAATATATGTCCAGAAAAACTAGCTTTACAATCCATCAACTTCATCCGTAAACATGCTAGTTATACATATTTATGGAACAAACCAATGAACCAAACACAAGCTGACAAAACATGAAGAATTATGGTGTAAAGGTCCTAACTTTTTATCTGTCAAAAAAAAAAAATGCAGAACTGATGTATACCTCCAACATACTTGAAGGCAGCACCCCTCATGTTTTGAGTTAGTGGGAATTGGGATCCCACAGTACGAAGCATGAACATTCAACGAGTAAAAGCAATAGAAAGATGAATGAGAAAGAAAAAAGAGTAATTATAATAGCTACATGAAACCAACATTTTATTACTATAAATAATATATACACCAGAACTAAAGTTGGCTTTAAGATGGGAGAGACAAAGGTAGAGTCACCTCAAATCTCTAGCAAATAGTTACTTAGACAACCACAAAAAACAATCCAATTTTTACATTTTGACTTTAATGTCAAGCCATATACAATATTATATACACAGCTTTGACATTCAGATTGAAGTACTCTCCTCTAGAGCATAAGCGTAGAAAAATACTGCTCAAATTCTTGATCAATGGTTGGTTTCCTTGCAGTTTGTGAAGCCCCTGCATTAAAGTAAAAAGTACACTTCTCCTTTCAGTATATGAGAAAACCAAATTTAATACCATTCCAAAAGTCACATGTATATGCAGTGCATGATTAACTAAAGGATAGCAAACTTTGTCATCCCCCCAAATGCCCCTACATCACATGCATGCTCATAAATCTCCTATCAATGTGTACGTATTTTCAAAGCATAAAAGAATTACCTTGGTTGACACTCCATCTTCCAGATGAAAGAACATAAACATTTGGATTAGCCCCATTGGTGTTGAGAATTTCCTCAATTTCCTTATCTTGGTATGCCTCTATGGGGTAGTTTCCGTATCCTGAGTAGATGTAATCTACATGACTTCCATACTCTACAATGGACTCCTCAAGATTCTCAGCTAGTTCAACATTAGCAGGTTCAGGCTCCCCACCAGGAGAAGATTGTACTTCTTTTTCAACACTGCTTGAAACTACTGCTGTACTATCTGAAGAATAAAGGGAACCTTGGGAGTTGGATCCCCAATCAGAAGATGAGGAGGAAGCTCTGCCATATAGTAAATACTTTGTGTCCTCTGTTCCAAATTTAGCTTCATAATGCACAGACATTGCATAGTCAGAGTCTTCAGAAAAGCTATTGCTATCTTCTGCTGATCCAGTTTCGGATACATCATAAGCAGCCCCTCCCTTTCCTTTGAAAGTGCATGGACTAAACCCCTCTACTTCCTGGATGCTGCTAAAGGTCGGAGGCTTTGATGGTAAGCTCCGATTCCAACATTGATGCTTTGATATAGGCAAGCCCAACTGCTCAGCCTCTAACTTTCTTTTCTTGTTAAAGTCAACAATGTTCATTGACCCATTGAGCAAGCTGAATATGAAAATAGAAATGGGAATAAGGAAAAGATGGAGAGGTACTTTGCAAGTAAGAGGCTAGATGCCACAATGATGTATACAAAAAGACAAGGAAAGGCAATCTACGTAGAAGGCCAACTTTCTTTCTCATTTGCTGATCAAAACTCATAACATAGAAAAATATTCAAGATGCCTCAGCGATTAATTCTCTTTGGCCTCATTAAGGTTTGAAAATGAGACAAGTTACAGTACCTAAAATTTAGTGTAACCTCTAAATGATAACTACACAAGCAGAAACGATACCATCAAAGAATTAATAGAATTTTCTTTGCTATGAAAATTGGTATTTTGTCCCAAAGGGGCAACCAAATGATTAGATCTTGAGATGTCCAACTTGAAGGCTTCAAATTCGAACATTGAGAATAAGGGGCGGATGCAAGGGATAGGGGCTTGGGACCGGGTCATCTATATCGAGAAGCACAGTGCAACGTTCACCTCCATACTATCAAAAAGCAATGAAAGACAAGGAATTATAGGCATCATCCTTAATCTTAAAGAAGAATTATGTTAATTCCAATACTGTCCTTTGGTTAAAAAATGCGGTTTTTAAGGGTCCTTGAGAAGATTGGCAAAGAAAAGGTTATTTCTTTAACAAAAGACTTAACACCTGAAGATAGCAGGCGACAGAGTTCATCACCGTGCTTGGGTTTTTTCTCTTTTGTTTTGAAGAAGGTAAGAACTTGATCCAAATAATGAACAGAACAAAACATCTAGTTCATGATCAAGCACAATGAATAACTTGTCGAAATCTAGGCTAATCAGCTAAAACGGTAAAACCTCCTACAACAAAGAGAAGCCCAGCTGGTAAATGGCGGTGGCTGAATTAATCACCAGCAAAGGATCAAACTACTAACCAACACCCATAGTCATGCCTCCCACATGCAAACAAAATCCTCCTTCAAAACTCGAAATTATTCCCAGTTTGGTCAAGGTGTTAACTGATTCGCAGACAAAAACAAGTTCAAAAGCATGCTGGGCATCAGAAAAGAAGAGATTCCATTATTTGAAGAAAGGTAACTAACTAACTAACTAGCACATGAAATTAGTGAACTACAAATCATTAAAACAAAACTAGATCAAACAAGGTAAGAAATTAAAGACCCAGAAACCAAACCTCTTAATCTGTGATGGGTTGGTCTGGCTATCTACCTCCATTTCCGGACAGACACCGGCGCAAAGTCTGAAACTTTAGGATGACGATGAGGAAACTAGACTACGGACTACCCAGTTACCTTCTTCGTGGATATCCGAGAATAAATCCGCTTTCTTTGCACTTCGCATACAGTTGAATAAATTCTCAATTCTCAGTCGGTGAGCGTGAGAAGCACGAACCAATAATTGACACTTTGTTTTCAACGCTTTGAGAGAGGGCGTGAGTGGATAACTGAGATAAGGACCATGCTGAGGCCACGTGAGTTTTTCGGAGGTGGCGCAAAGGCCAGTGCATGAAGGGCCCCACTCTCGTTATTATTACTCTTATTTACTGTACTTGTTTACGTAAAATGATTATTGTGAAAACTAGGTAAATTTCAAAATCTACCTGTCGTTTTCTTAAATTTACATTCATCACTTTACATTTTAGTAAATCTACATTTAACCCCCCTTCCTATTAAAATCATACTACTAAAACTTATGGATAGGTTTTATTTTTAGAGTTGATACTTGAAATTCCTTTAAAACAGTTTTGACTTCTTCAGTTAATTTTAAATTCAAATTGACAATGAAGGAATTTTGATATGGTCAAAGTTTAAAAAAATGGCTCAAATTGAATAAACTTTCATTATATTTGCACATAAAAAAATTTGTACATCAATTGAAATTTTTTATATACAAACTTGTTAATCCAGTTCTTTTCGGATATGGTCAAGTTTTACAGAATGGGTCAAGTCAAAAGGGGGACAGAAAGAATATCTAGACCAAGCAAAATAAAATTTCGAAAAAGGTTGGCATGCCTCTTTTATGAGCTGTCTGTCTGCTAAAATCTCAATCATTGACCAGGACACGAGCAAAGAGATAGAAGCCGAAGGGGAAGGCTGATTCCATTGATAAAACAAAAAGAACACTGTGAGAAACAGAAATGTCATCAAAACTTGTGTTTGTGTTTAGAGTTACAAGGATTGTACAGCTCTTTTACATGAGTGATACAGTTGTATCTGTTGATTTGCATGATCACTCCTACATTGATGCCCTCTTCCTGGACAAGGTGTAAAAAATTTAAAAAAAAAAAAAAAAACCTAGCTGTGACCCTCCCTACAACCGGAAACTCAAAAAAGGGGAGGAGGTAAAAGAAGAGTAAAACCCCACCAATCCTATTTCTAATTGCTTTGCCTGGTTATTGACAAGGGACCTTTTGACATCCTCATCCATTATCAATTACTTGCAGCAACAGCTTCCAAAGCAATCCTGACTTACTGTTGCCAGATAGTGATGAATGGTTTTTCCTAATTTCTCTTTCCTGGACTACTGCGAGGAGACAGCTTACATGCTAGGGACTACCAGATCTTATCACGAGGTAAGCATTAATCAAATCCCTCAAGCATCCCAAACTTTTGTTATTGCCAACGCAATGTCAAAAAACATAATTGAAACCTCATTCCGATATTGACGCAGCAGATTTGCCATCGTAGGCTGTTCGAAAGCGGAGACCGTTACCAATGTGGCTCGATGTGGGGCATATCCAGCAGAAGATACTTGGACCCAACACCTGAAACAATCAGACAGCAACAAATGAAATAAGAGATAAAAATGGGTCCTAGCCTTCTGCAAAAATTGAAAAACAAAACAAGAATGAAACAAGGCAAAAATTGAACAAAGTTATAGATGTTCAATCTAGTGTTGTCAGCTGGCCTACTAGATGATCAGGTCATGATAGAAGGCAGGTTAGAACTTGACATATAGAGACTTTTTAAATTATATAAAATTGAGGATATTTGAACACCCAGAAACTACAATCTAAAGCAAACAGTAGAAAAGTGAGCTCCGCTCAGATTCATCAAGATAAAAGTCCAAAATCATTTGCAACATCTTATATCAATCAGCGTAGAAAAAGAAGAGGAGCAGTTTCATTACAGGTTATTACCGTTGTTAGATTTTCATAGGCACCAAGATCATATGGGTGCTTATAGACATTCCCTCCTTTCTCTGCAAGCCACATAGCTCTCACCCCTTCGTGGTACTGGCAATTTTTAAACAAAAATGAAAGGAAATAAGTAAAAAAAATACAGTTTTAAATTTGAAACCAGACTTGAAGAAAAAAGAAAAAGAAAAAAACAGTATAAATAATTCTCATTACCTCGATTGTGGTCTTATTTTGCAAAATGAGGTAGATATGCCATCCCAGGAGAACACTTAAAGCCACACTTAAGGGGACTAGCAACAGTCCACAAATAACCTGAAAATGCCAAGTCATAAGCATAGCACTAATATGGTAAGTTCTAGCTCAGAAGGTAGGTAACCAGAGACATTACATATGCAGTCCTGAAAGTGTCTGCCCTTTGCTGCTCATCATTTTCGGAATCATTAGTTAGGCTGCCAACAAGTAAAACCTGACATTTAAGTGAATAGAAAAAATTAATGAGAAAAAAAAAATGCCCTCGTCAGAACCAGCCGGAGTGCCCAGTAAAACTATGGCACAGGTCAATCCAAAGGAAGAAGTGGAACTTATGTGCAAGGCAATCAAGTGAAGTGCATAACTAACCCATAAGAAAGAGCTTTCATAAATAAACAAAAAATGAAGATAATTTCAAGATCACAAGGGAGTAAATAAGTTACTATGATACAACATACCAGAGAATAGATGCAAGCAATTACAGCGTATACAACGAAGACGAAGAAGACCTTGTAGTTGGCATGGCCGACACAATTATTTATCCAAATGCAATGGTGGTCCTTATAATCAAGAGGAGCACTTTTTAGCATATTATTGAGACATTTGAGACATGCATGAATGATAACTTAGGCAAGTACCATTCTTAGAACGCATCTCTTGCAAACACGACAGTGATGTGCACGAGGAGGTTTAAAGTGAGAACACTTTTGGCAATATCTCAAGTCCCCTCCCTACAAAACATTCCAAACAAAAGTCACAGATAGATGACCAAAATAACAGTTATGCAACAAAAACATAAAGAAGTCTATTAAGCATTAACCCCCCAAATGCCATAGAATTTCATTGACTACATCTATTAATGATGTTACCCTGGTTTAAGTACACCAACTTGAGGAGTCCACCTAAATAACACAGATTTTAGCTCCACTTACAATTGGATTTTTTGTCTCATTGAGGTTATTTTGACTTAGAACTTCTGCACAAATCTTTAACAAGCGACAAAATTCAAAATCAGTCTTCCAATACAAGACAAGATTCAAGAAAACCGGAAAAACCAACTCCTTTCAATATTCTGATTCCAAGTAAAAGTCAATAAGAGATCGAATGTGACATACAATTACGTCAACTCATGCGTTTAAGTTTCCGTTTGACAAAGAAGGACACTATAACAGTGACGCAAGACGACAATAGTTCTCCTGATAACGACAGCAAACATCCTGTTAGTTAGAAGGTCCTCAATGACAGCTAGAGCATCATCATAACACATATGATACAAATGCCAACATACCGGTCTCTGTTGTGATTAACAGTCAAATAACACATTACATTGATCATTATGACAAAAGATCAAACGTACAGACAAACTGCAGTGAGGTACTCTTACCTTGCTGCTAGTCTAAGGGTTTTCTACAATGCAGAATACACCAATCAAACCACTGAATAAAGAAGCAGCTTGAAAGCTGTAATTTGTTCTGCTTTCATTTCCACACTTATGAACCAATTATGTTAGACTCGATATTTCATAAAGGCCACCCACTCATCATAGATTAGAATGTTTTTGATAATGCCTTCTGCTCATCTCCTTATTTGGCATCTTTGACATATTAAGAAAAATAACAAAAATAACCAACCCGCCATTTGGGTAATTACAACTATCTCATTTCTCCTCAATTCCAAAACTTTCATCAAATCTAGACCTAATAAAACCCCCCAAGATCATTGTTTTTTCCCACATGCAAAATTTGCTAATCTGTTCTAACTCCATAATCAGCTCATTTGCATGCAATAATCACAAAAAATTTAACAACCCCAACATTGTTCTCTCCATTTCTAACAAATCAAGATTGCAAAAATTAATGATTTTTTATTGAAAAGATAAAATCTTCATCAAAATTATTACCTAAAAAAAAATCCAATCCAGCATTCTCGTGTTTAAGACATGAAACATAAAGAACCTTAAAGAACATACCAAAACAGCTAATTTTTCTTTTCTTTTGTACCTTGCGTTTGATCTCATGCATAGGAACTTCGGAATCTTCGATGTCAGGCATGAAAGAAGACGGGACCCGACCCGCATCCGTCAAGATTGCAAAGCCGTAATTAAGCACACACGTGACTGCAACACCAGTGAAAACGACAGCGTTCATGATACCAGGAGAGGTCATTAGACCGAACCAGCGGTCTATGAAAATGAAGACCGTACAAAAGTAAATGAAAGCGATGGCCGAAATGACGACGGTTACGGGCATGGAAAAGCTGAAGCCTCGCTTCATGGTTAAGGTATTTTTCTTGAACGTTCAGACGAGGGGTGGATGCGGAGGCGCCGGCGTTTAGAACGACGGCGTCTCCTGTGCTGGTGAATTTCGAGGTGGATCCTTTTTGGGTTTTTCTTTTCTTTTTCTAATTTTGTTTTGTTTGCGGGAAAAAGGTGGAGCTTTTAATTTGCAGGTTGGTCGCGGTTGGGAAACAACTGTTATATCTATAGGGTGCGGTGTCGTCGAAGTTTTTGTCGTGTTTAGCTCGAATGCCCCTCATTTTCTTCTGTATTTTTCAGATTACCCTAAAGAATTTGATTTTATATTTTTTGGCCCGTTTGGAATTTGTTAATTAAGAAATGGGTGAGTTGTTGGCAAACCTTCTAGGCTTGTTATGGTAAGGTAATGACATATTGATATTAAGGATCTTGAATTTTATAAATCATTAAAGGGATACTATTTTAAAAAGCTTCTAATTTATTTAAAAAAATTTAAATAAATTCTTATTTTTTAATTACAATCAATTAAATTCTTGTAATTTTATTTTATATCAAACAATCTTTTATGATTAATAATTAATTAATTATAATTAATCAAAATATCATTTGTTGACATGAAAATTAAAAGATTCTAAGTTCTTACCATCACTATCCATAGGGTATGTTGGAACTTTTATATAAGGAAATCATCTTTATTAAAGTTTTTAATGCATTCTTATGGAAGTGTCTTAAACATGGTTAATTGGTCATGAATGTTATAATAATGATATAGCATAACCATATGATAATGATCACAAGGATATAAACTGGATCTCTTTCAATGGAGCAAAGTGAGCAATGTAGGTGCAAAACTTGGATAAGATTCCAGGTGGAATCCGGATAAAGTAGAGCGAATAGAAAGATTGTATTTGTAGAAAATCTGTTTATGAAGATTCTGCCACATATCAGTAGTTCTTATGGTAATACTCAACTTGACGATAACCTATACAGAAAGCCGCACCAGTTCATTTTCTGGTGCTGGTAATCAAGTAATAGTAGACCTCAAACCAAGCTTAAGCTGTGAACCTAGCAACTATTCTCCTGGCCGTAAAATTGTAATATTAAAAAAAAAAGGAAAAAAAGAGAAACAATTGGATTTCAGCATTTAGGAAGATCAGCAGGTGGAGGTAGTAGCTTCTGTTTGCGACCCTTTCCATCGTTGACAACCCATGCCATCTTTAAGCCCCAGCTAGTGTGTACTTCCAGATGGCAGTGCATAAACCAAACGCCTGTTCATGCACAAAGAGTTAATCAAAAGAGACGGACAACTACATTTGATTTGATTAATAGTGAAAGAATATTATCTAAACCGATGACTCTGTTTGATATATCCAAGTAAAATGATTTCCTAAGTTGCTAGCCAAATTGGGTTGATTTTGAAAATGTCTTGCTTATGTTACTAGCTTTTCTTTTTCTCTTTTCCCTTACAGTTCTGACGGAATCAGGATTTGATCACAACCTTCCATATGCATATATGATAAGTAAATTATACAAAGTTAAGGTAATTATGTAACTCACCAGGATTGTCTGCAAGGAAACGAATGGCGACCCATCCACCAGATGGCACACCCACCGTGTTCCTCTCTGCAGGGTCTACAACATTGAACTTGGCAGGGTCCTTCTTGGGGTCAAAGTTGCCAACACCTTGACCCAACACAAAGAAATTGAACCCGTGAAGATGTAAGGGGTGGCTTTCTGCACCAAGGATGCTAGTATCCTGCATCACCAACTCCACGCTACTGTTAAAAGGTAGCACCACGACCTTGGTGCCACTGTCCAACATTATGTTTTTAGGTGGTGTGCCTGTGTAATTAAACTTGGACGGTGGGTTCGCAGGGAAATTGGTGGTGTATACTCCTTTCGATCGGTTAAAGAAGTGAGCCTGGAGAAGAGCAATATTTGGTTGCACAAATGAAACATTGTTAACTGCAGCAGCTGGCCTAGTGTTGTTGGGACCTTGGCAAGTTTGGTTTTGTGAGCATGGGAGTATCCCTAGCCCGACTGTGAAGAAGAAGCGTCTATCAACATTTTTTGGGACTTTAGCAGGGAATTTAGTTGAAGCGAGGCTACGAAGTTTCTGGTTGAATTTCATAGCATAGGTGGAGTCATTAAACTGTGGAAGTTTTGCTTTTAGAAGCGGGAGTTTCTTGTTATTAGAGTTTGAGGCAGAGGCAGATTTCTCATACTCTAGAATTCCGATTGTCGTGGTATTGTCAAAAGTGGCAAGGCCAGTGGCATAAGGCCTGGCTGACAGCGCAAATTTGGCGCTGGGGGCCTTGGATTTGGTCTTGAGGAGGACATTAGTGGTCTGCCCTGGAGTGATAAGAACAATATCTGTTTTGAAAGGTTTGACATAGACTGCATCGGCTTCTACAACAGTGACTGTATGGTTTGCAATTCTGAAAAAGAGCTCGTCATTGAGTGCAGCGTTGATCAAACGCAAAAGATAGGTTTTACCCGGCTTCACCTTAAGCTTGAATGTTTCTGCATAAAATTTAGTTTTCTTGTTATTAGTGTGTTCCTGAATTTGAACCTTTCCAATGGAAATTGACAAAATATTGGTTTGCTTCAGTGACATTGAATATAATGTAGTACCTTTGGCTGAGCAGTTGTAAGAGGGACCTGGTAGACCATTAATTGGTGAAAGCATCTGAGATATTTGGTGCCCCTCCAGTTGCCATGGCCTGGTTGATGACAGTTTCTGTATCTGCTTTCCACCACTCTCCTGCAATTCCAGGCAAAACTCAAAATTAATTCAAGATGCAAAATTATTCTTCTTCCAATGCCCGATGTGAGAAGTTGTGTCAATTACCAAAAATGATGGGAACTTCTTTGAATGGTTGGGGAAATGGGTAAGAGGCATGTCGTTTTGGGAGGATGACAATAGGTCCATAAAGAGTAGCTCTGAGCCAAGAGATGTGAGCATGCCAAAATAAGGTTCCTCTTTGGCCAGTGATGGTGAAGTTGTATACATAGGATTTTCCTGTCTGAATTGGGCACTGTGTGATGTAGGCAGGTCCATCAGCCCATCCAGTCCTTAGCTGTCGGATTCCATGCCTAGTTCCCAGGTGAAAAGCCAACATTTGATCAACTTTAAAATAAAATGCTAACCATTAATGAAAGAGAGAAAGCAGTAGGAAGTGAAATCTCATACCAATGAAGAGTGACATTGTATTGAACATGGTTAACCACCTTGATGAGAAGGCGATCGCCTTCCCTAGCAATAATCCGAGGCCCTGGGAACTGGCCATTGACCGTCACAATGCTCTTTGTTTGGCACAACCTAGTCACATTTTGCATCCTAATCTGTACAAGATTAGCAAGAAAAAGAAAGAACAAACGGGTGGAAATGTTAGCCTAAGCTATAGCCATGCTTAAAATGTACTAAAAGACTTCTCTCTCTAGGAGGTGTGTGTCGCTGTATCTGTCTCTGTCTCTGTGTGTTTGTTTTGGTTTTCTTTGCCATTTGTGTTGTCGGGGGAGAGATTAAAGCTAGAAATATGCAACGAAGACAGAGTTTAAATTTGAACATTTGATTAAAAAATTACGGTAAGCTGTGTTTTTCCTCATTTTCAAGTTAAGGTTGAATTTGTTCCATACTCTGTTTTTAGTTTCTCTGTGTCGTGTTTATTGAACTTAAAATCCTTGCTTTGGAGTTCTGTTTGGGCTTGAAAGATTCCGTTTTCTTTTTTAAGCAATGAAGGCTCTGTTTAGTTTTGCTGCAAAACAGTGAATAAATGCGTGGATTCAAGTTGAGGATACAAATCCCTTGGACAGTTAAGCATTATATATTATTAATGTGAAGCATAGGCTTAGGAAAAAGGAAAAAAACAAGGCACTAAAAGAGCCTAAGAAATGAGGAATTAAAACTTACATTGAACTTGTAGTGCCTGGTAATGCCTGCATGCTTTGCAACTGCCAAATCAGGTAGTAGCCAGACAGCACATAACGCTAGGAACAAAGCCCTGAAAAGGGCTGATGATGTAAGAAGAACAGAACCCATGTCTCTTTTCTGTGTTCTTTTAGTAATATTTTGTTGTGATGATCTATCAAAAATGATAAGGATAGTCAAAGTGGGATCAAACTTGTTCGGATGGAGAGAAAGGAACAAGTGAGGCAGTTTATATAGTGGGAGAAGGACTGATTGGTTTGTTAATTAAGTGACTAAAGATTCAGATAATCCCTGTTACACTGCAGACAGGTTGTGTCTTCAACAGCAACTTGCATATTTGGTCCGACTAGCTGCTGGTGAATCCCTTTAGAGTGATCTCCAAGACACAGACAATTTTTTCCTAATGAAGATCTAATTTTAACTTTAAATTCCTAATCTTATAGTTCCAAAATACCCCATGAGCTTGATGAACACATATAAACAATGGTTAATGTTACAGTCAATCAAGAAATTGTCCATTTCGTTCATTAGCCGCTCTTTCCCTTATCAGAAAATCTTGGAAAACCCATTGAATGATTCTAAATTTCTAATTAAGGATTGAAATGAACCATTTTTATTCATTTTCAATTATTTGGTCTTTGACTTGAATTATTTGAGGATATAAATGTCATTGAAGTGGGGTAATGATTAATTTTTAAAAATTTATATGAAGAAAAATTGTTTGGTTTGAGTAGGACTAATTAAAATCCACATTATTTTATAGTTAAAAAATGGGTGGAAAAGGATTTATAATCCATTTATCAGGAAAGGGGGTAATGTGGGCATGGGTGCTGGGTGGCCTTCAACCTCCTACCGCTTGATACTTGCCAATCAAGCCATGACTGAATGTGTTTAAACCAACTGGTTAGCTGTCGGTTGTTTCAACTGTGATTCTCCAAGTTCCTTAACAGCTTCTGATAGTTACCTTACTGCAACATTTCTTGCACCACCCTGGTCTCAATGGATCTAAATCTAGCTCTTGTTTTGGTCTTGCCTTCACTAATAAGAGCATGTTAGATCACAAAACCAAGTAGGAATCCGCATAGATGACACCAAAGTTAAGTGTTTACAATGGTTGGTTCAAGTAGGATTAATCGCCTGTGCTTTGGCTTTTGCAGTTAAGACTTATCCATGGAGTGCTAAATATTGCATGGGAATGGTGTTGCCAGGCCTTTGGTAAGAAGTGGAAGCTTTAACCTTTAAGCAAGTGATT